TTTGCAAAATATTTTATTATAATTTGTGTATTCAGAATCAAATATAAAAATATTAAATAGAGGTATTAAAAGAAAATTATAAAAGTGACACGCGTTCTCAAAATAGATTTGTTATGTTTACGATGAAATAAATTTGTGTTAGCAAAATTCTATGTTTAGGTAAATAATTGACTCTCAGAATGGTCTTGTTCAATTCAATGCTGATTAAAATATGTTTTTTTTTTCAATTTCGATTATAAAGCTTCAAAAGTTCTGTATATTATTTGTAATTGTTGCATTTTGTTATTTTTATAAGTATTATATTTATTTGCGATATGAAATTCTCACTTAAGGTTTATAAGCTCAGCGATATGGTTGGATTCAAGTTGGATACGATATTAGGCTTTACCGAAGCTATTAAGTTATCTAGTATCGGTAATTGCACATTTAGCACACACGAGAGTAGAAAATCTAATGTAAAAGAAGAATTTTAATTTCATACATATTTTATTTTCATCTCTCCTTATATTCTTCTTCTCTTGAAGTAACGAAGTAAGAAGACATTAAGTACCATCAATCAATCCCCTTTGCAAAACGACAAGTCTGTTTACATTAGATAGGTACTCTTTTAAGAACTACGGCATTACCTCTACATGAGCGAAAAATTTGACGACAGATTTTAATTTGTTATGACATGAAAAAAAAAACTGTAGTGTATATTTTGAACCAACCACTTTATTTAAAAAAATATCTTTTCTGATGCGATGGAACGAGAAGACGACAAAGTATTGTATCGTAAGATTAGAATAACTGTCGCATTCATGTCATTTTGCACGCCTTCGTTTTTTACTGCTCATGTAGAGGAATGGGGTATAGCAAAACACTTGTATCTAAACATTCACTTGTAATATTCTAATAATTATTTTTCTTTGGGGGAGACCTTCTCAGCAGGGGGCGTTGCGCGGTTGATATGATTCAAGTATCATTTTAGACCCATCGTCGTTTAATCTTCATGGATTAAACGACTTTTGTTATCTTTAACAATATCTCTCACTAAAATCAATTATATTATTATCTCGTGTTCCGATGTTTCTAACTATAAATTTCCTATTTTAGATCACTTTTGTTAATATTCTGATTAAACTGGTTTTGATGATTGTACATAAGTAAATGTAAGAGTTATATTGATGCATTAGCTGGATCCAGCTTAAGGCGCTTATCAATGATGTTCGTTTTAAGTACTTGACTTGTGCAATTGAACTAAAACACAAAAGCTATTGTCAAGCATGAGCCAGCGCTGAAATTACAGCGATATTGACGCCAGGTATTGCCACAATAGCTCTTCCAATATGTAGCAAGCAGAAAGTATCTATGCATGCAGTTCTTTTTGTGTAATTCTTTTTACTGAAACACTTTTCAAGACTATTAAAAATGTCATGTTGTGTATTTCTTAAATAGACTTAAGCTATAGAAAATAATCAATCAAATAGATTTAAGGAGAATTCCATCCAAAAAACGTGATTTGAAACAATAAGTAGTTTTCACTTTTGACAATTTAGAAGAAATTTTGTGTCAAATACAGTATAACAAAGATATAATATTTATCAAATAAATATTTTTGGTTATATTTTCATGAAATTTCTTTTAAAATCAATTCTTTAGTTTATTACAAGTGAATATTTAATGGTACCCCACTTCTTTTACCGCCGTTTGTGGTTGGAAGCCTTAAGCTTCTCCCATAAGCGCGTAATTATCGGTCGAAAATATCAGATGCGTTTATTGTGATATCTGTTTTTCATACATTATATCATATGAGAATGGCTGCGATAATAACGACGCAATACAAATATGACGAAATATCGATACCGATAGTAACGCGTCTACGAGGCTTAAACCTATTAATCAAGGAGAATTCAATTTTCAACTGCTTCTCTGTCAAAGTCAAAGCCTTAACTCTATACTTATCACCTTAAGTACACGCTTTGATACACCATCTTTAAGTTTCTTTCCCGATTAACATTTTTATATGAATTAAGAGTAAAGTATCTGTATGACGCCAAAATTTTTAAGTAGGCACCAAATTAAATTAGAAGTTACATCCTGCTGATCAAGATCATTTTGTAGATAACCTGTGTTAGGTAATTTATGATTGTATGAGTTTTATTTATATAAAAATATCATTATAATTTTCTAATAAAATAAAATACATTTAAAGTAAAATTAACATTTGGTGTCTGTTCCAGGCCATATACCCAAGAAGAAAATGGCAACTCAGATCTTTATTTTATTAACATGCATAGCACCGACTACATATGTTAATTTTGCTTTAAATGTTAACTTAGATATTAGTAAAGGAATATGTATTATTTTCAAAAATCTTCTATCTCGAGTTCCTCCGTGCTTCAGAAGGCACGTTAAGCCGTTGGCCCCGGTTGTATCTGCAGTCATTAGCACCCGCCAATCCGCATTGGGCCCGCATGGTGGGTCATGGCCCAATCTCCCTATTCCATCCATAGGGAAGGCCTGTGCCCTAGCAGTGGGGACATTTATAGGCTGATGATGATCATGATGAATAGTTTAGACTTTACTGATCAGATCTTCACCAAATAAATATGGGACCATCTTGCTAAAGAACTGGTTCAAACAAAAAAATAATCATTAAAACGGTCAATGTATCTCGGAGATATGCGCGATCAACAATTATAAATAAATAAAATATAGTGACGAATTGAGAATGTCCTTCTTTTTGAAGTCCGTTTAAAATGCTTATATTTTTATGAAAGCAATTATTTTAAGACGTCATACAAACGCTTTTCACGTAGAACCGCCTTACTTATATTTCATATATTTAATTTACCCTTAACACTATTTTTTTATATATTTTAGTATAGGTATATATCCACTTTCTAATTACAAACATCAATACACCTCTAAGTACAATAATAGTAATAATATATTTTCATTTGTATTGTGTATACACAGTGAACGTTTTTCACGTAGATTTATAAAACTTTATAATACTCACATTTAATAAACTAATCATGAAAATCAGTCATCAAAGACAATGTGTAAAGTTTATGCGACGGACAGGTGACAAGAAGCGCATTTAACGCGCTGCTCTACATAATATATAGAAGCATACTTATACAAATGCTTTATCAGATAGTTTAACGATATTTTAAAGAATATTCGAGTATACAAGTAAATAAACAAAAATACTTCTTCAACTTTGATTTAAGTAGTAAGTAAAGCAACAAAGCCAAGTAATATTTTACTTAGGTCAAAAAAACACGCTGACAGGTTTTGTAACCTGTCTGAACTCAGCCTGTTTTTTGATATATTCAGACCTTTGATTATTTACTCTCTAGATAGAGCGTGGCAGCGCCGATGCGTTGAAAAAAATAACTCCCACCTGGTGGGCTTTAAGTCGTTTCCCGACACTTAGTGTTCAATGCAACGCTGAGCGAAATGCACGTCAATTACCGAGTTTCATGTTAGAAATATTGCTTCAAAATGCCGAGTTGCGCGATAAAAGTTTGCCGAAATTATAAAAGACGCATAAAACAACCAACAAAGTCACTTACCATCGGTAAGTAACTCATTATTCACTTTAAAAAATAAAACTATATTATTTAATATACTATTTTAATAATAATTATTAGTTACAAAAAGAATCCGACTCCATCTTGACATTTTGAAAGTGATGTCAGTGTCACACTACAAAATTCCCCAAAAGAAGTATATGGCGTACGTATAAGTTATTAGTAAGTATTAAGTAAGTATGAAGTTCCAAAAATGAAGAAAGAGCTTCGATAAAAAAAATACAGATGACGAACAAGTGAAGTCTGGTGAAGTCTGCAATTTCTACCGGTTTTCAGGGGCTTAACAAAATATTTTTTTTGCGAAGGTATAAAAAGTTATTTGATCGATTGATATTGAATGTGAAATTAATGACCTAGTAAATAGTTATTTACTAGTTCATCGATGTTTTAAATAAAGTATAGTATTTTTGACCAAATGATTTGCTTTTATTTAATAGTTAAGTGAACGAACAATTACATAAAAAATATATTTCAAAGTCATAAAGTTTACAAGATTGTAAAACAAAAGTTTTGCGTCACAGAGGCATGTATAATATGTAAAATTTTAAAGAAAAATAATATTCAAGGCATTAATCATCATAATTAAAAAAAAAGTCTATTCTGCTGTTTCTTTCTAAAAATTTGTAAAAATAAATAAATATCGAAGTATAAAATACGTTTTACAGATCGACGACGTCTATGATTTTTAATTATTTGAAGAATATACTAATTTTGATTAGATTAAGTTTACCATTTTTGGGGAATTGTGGCCTAACCTGCTAACAAACAATCATCGTGCGCATGCATTGTATTATAATCTTATGCATGTGCACGGAGACACAAAGAATGACATTTCGCGAATGTAAGATACAAGATTTGCGTGTTTTGTTTGCATGTCACGCACACAAGTATATAAAACCTGGCATATTTGTATCGTAGTGTTTACAAGGTGACACTCTATCTAGAGAGTAAACAATCAAAGATTCAGACAATGTATAGAGTGCTCGAAAAAATACAAAGTTCAAAAGTACGAAATGTTTAATGTGTAACAACGAGTCTTAAAGTACTTGGTCGGGAATATCTAATAGAGACTAACAACTAGGGACATAAGCTCCGAGGGTGCATCTATACATTTATAAAATTTTGGAAAGTCCACATAGTACACATTTTTTTAAATATTCTCTCATGAATAGAAGAATTACACAGTCTTTGTAGTATTTTTTTACAATAATTTTAATACTGATGTGTCAATAAATTTCAAATCTCAATATACGTAATAAATATAAATATTTCTTTAATACAAAAACAACGTTTGATTTATAAATATCGAACTTTTTTTCGTAAAATATTTTAATAATATATTGTCGACATTTTAATGGACGTTGTGCGTAATTTAAATAACCAAAACTCAATATGATAATAGAAATTGAAGATCATTGTTTACTGCTCAGCAAACCTTAACTTTTGTTTCTTGACGAAATCTATAGCCATCTTGTCGGTTGTTCGGGACTCCAGTATTTGCAAGATGGGGTGATCTGTAATTCAAGTTCGGTGTGAGACGCTGTCGATTCCTGTTTCTATAGATAAGACAGCGGGATAGTGGATATTGTAATTCAAAGCTGATTTTGCATTAGATGAAATCTGATTTCTCTTTAAGCAATATTGTTATTACTGTATAAAAGGTATTCCTAAATCAGGCTTCGTAGAAGCGGAATAATGTTCGATTTACTGAGGTTTTGTAAACTCTATTTAAATTGTTATCGCCATATCTTTACGGCCTAGCGACTTTAATTTATCATTTTATGATCGTCATTACTGTTCATCCTACTGTAACTAACATAGTCTTAGGCCCAAAATTGCTAAATCTCAAATCAACTAAAACTAGGTATATCCCATACAATTTTCTATGGGTTATATCCAGTTTTAGTTCAATCCAAAATTATCAAATTTGCTGCAAGTGGCCTTTAATGCCTAAGTAGGTCAAGGCAAGGATGAAACTATAGTTTTAAGAGTTACTTTCTCTAGGTACAGAGGTTGACTGGTCAAATTAATATTTTAGCCCTACTGGGCAGGCCTACTTTATGGAAGGGGATGATCTTTGACCATGCGACATACGAATGATGATTGATAAGATTATTTCAATCAGCTAGTGGTTACCGTGTTCGATCTGCGATCGTGAAAACTAATCAAGTCTCGCAATGGCCGGAAATAGTGATAAAAAAATACTATCTCGAGATCTCATGTGCTTTAGAAAGCACGTTAAGCTGTTGGTCCCGGTTGCTTCTACAGTCACTAGCAAATACCAATCTGCACTGAGCCAAGTGGGTCATAGTCCAATCTGTCATTCCATCCACACGGAAGGCTTGTTTTTCAGCGCTTAGGGCATTAAAGTTTGCCAAAGACGATGACTTAGTTGTTCGTTGGCTATAAGCTCCGAGCTCCGAGCTCTGCCATTGCTAGTCTTTCATAGGAGGAAGGCATGCGCCCCAGCAGTGGGAACATTAATAAGCTGACTATCACCTATGCTGTTTGTTTTATCAGGTGTTTTTGTTAACCTTTTATCTTCTATAAGGAAGGCCTGAGCTCTGGCATTGAGAACATTAAATAATAGTGTGTAAAAAACCTTTAACGAAATCGAAGGCCACGTATTTTTCACATCATGACCACTATTTTTTTCTTCTGGACCATACCTGGGAAATTCCTGGCTATGGAGATATTGAAGGTCAAAGTCACAAATTTTTAATATTAATATTTTGAAAACGTTATTTAGAAACTTTTTGATCGACGCACACAGGCACACACATACACACAGCACATTCTTTGCGTAGCGCCACAATAGCGCGCCGCGCTATACTATAATTTGCTAAATAGATTTCCTGCTATACAGCCCATATGAGAGTTGGACGTTTTGCTACATTGACATTCTGCTAATTATACTTACTGCTTATTAGACGTTTGGCCTTGTTGGACGTATTGCTACTTAGACCTTCTGATCTTGAAGCAATTTTTTTTAACATAAAAAATACGTATATTATTTTTTAATATTACTTGTTATTACATGACGACCTCCGTAGCCGAGTGGTTTGTACGTCGGGTTTTATGGTGTAACCGACTCGAGAGGTCCCGGGTTCGAATCCCGGTAGTGGCAGATGTTTGTGTGATGAATACGAATATTTGCACTCCAGTCATGGATGTTTAATATGTATTTCTATAAATATACTTATATATGTACTGTATATGTACTGTGCACGATGGAGTGACGATTTGCGCAAGGTGGCTGGCAGGAGCTGGATGCGAGTAGCCCAAGATCGATCTAAATGCGTGCAATTGGAGAGGCCTATGTCCAGCAGTGGACTAGGATAGGCTGTTGATGATGATGATGATATGTATTCTATCCGTTACCCTAGTATCCCATAACACAAGCCTTACAGTGCTTACTTTGGGGCTAGGCCAATTGGTGTAACTGTTGGATTTCATTTTATATGTGTTAAAGCAAACGACTCACTCCGATCATGGAGCTGCATCAGCGGCAGCTCAAGCGGGCGCAGCGGGTCCGGCGGAGCGTGGCTGTTGACGCCGGGCACCCGCGCGAGCGCCACGAAAGCCTCTCCCGCAAAGTCGTCCGCCGTCAGTACGTCTCGGTCCCATACGGATAAAGACAGCGCCGCTTGGGGCGACCGGCACGACTCCAGCGACACGGTGAACTCGAAGCACTCGTCCCAGATGGGGTTCAGCGTTTTCTATTTCAAAATTTCATCGGGGCTATCAAATAGTTTCATAAAGATATGAGGTAGGTAGTAGGTAGAGAATGTAAACCATTCTCTACCTACTACCTACCCACCAAAAGCATGTTGCGGTCCCACATCGACAGCGACAGCGTCGCCTGGGGCGACAGGTACGACTTCAGCGACAGGGCGAACTCGAAGCACTCGTCCCAGATAGGGTTCAGCGTTTTCTATTTCAAAATAAAAACGAGACATAATAACACCTTGACAAGACTATCAAATAGTTTTATAATAGAAATAATGTGTGTAAAAGAAAGCGGATGGTGTGTATTAGCACGTTGCGGTCCTCCAGTGACATGGCGAACTCGAAGAACTCGTGTCAGATTGGATGGACTCGTCTGTTTCAAAATGGGAACGGGGATATCAATAGTTTCATTAAGAAACGAGGAATGTAGGAGAAGGAGGTTGGTGTAAAATAGCACGGGGCGACGGACACGCCTCCAGGTCTGGCGATATGGTGAACTTAAGCACTTGTCTCAGACGGGGTTAAGCGTTTTCTTTTTCAAAATTAGAACTTGACGTTATTTGACCGTTTTATAAAGAAGTGAAGCATGGAATGTCGGAAAGGAGGATGGATAATAAAGTAATTTAAATCTATTTTACAGTTATCCATTTTAAACAACGTGTATCAGAAATAATACACCAACATCCTGAAAGTAGTTTGGTTAGAATTGGCTTTTGCATCGATTACGATAAAAAAAGGTATCTATAAATATTTCCAAAAAATATTAACATTAATTTAATCCCTATCAAACAAAAGATTATGATACAAATTGCAAGTTAACAGGGACTATTTTTAAATGCAACGGTACATGAAACAAAACTAACATTCAGCCATAGATTTTTTTTAATCATACGTAAGTATAATAATTATATTATACATAAATATGGGTTCCTATTTTATTTTTTTAATTCTATATACCTACTCTGCTAGTATTTAGGTGCTATTAAGTCCTAACAACTCATTAAAATGAGTTTTAAATAAAATATAATGCAGCATTAATGTCAGTTTATTTTCAAATCTAATTGTTCTTACCTTTTGCACATTAGTGCTCTGCTCGTGCGCTTTTGGGAAGAGCCGTTTAGGTAGTAGTTCCAGGACAACGAATGGATCGCTCAACCCGTTTGGATCAAGGGGGATTACGTCACGGGCCGATAGCACCTCAACGCAAAGCGAATCGTGGTTGAAATAAACCCTGTGGACATCAAGGAATCGTGAGGACGCATAAAAATGTTGATTATCCTAATGATGATGCAGGACCGAAAAGATATAAAATATTTTATCTATAGAATAGGTGTTCCGCGGAATCAATATGGGACGTGAAAAACAATTATTTTAAAAACGATTACGTACAATAATTGAGCGTCGTTTATTAACGCGGCTCTCGATTAGTAACCATTTATCGACACAGTTTAATAAAATATATAACTGAGAGTCCCTATTAGTAGGAATACTTTATCGACGTTTCAAATTAATAAAAAATGCTGTAATTGAAGGATAATATACTTTAGACTTATTACATACCTACATATAATAAGTCACTAGCATGATAACAGAAATACGATTAGTACGATATTTTTTTATGTATTAAAGGTGGCAAAAAAGCTTATTTATTATATATTTAGATAGATTATTTAGATTTATTGAACATTAGCCTTTACTATTGACGTCATTGACACAAATTTCAATCAAAACTGATAAATGTAATGAAGACACTTGTAGTGCTCTTAATTCAGTTGGGATTAGAATCACTTAGGCCCACTTGCACGTTCCAGGGTTAATTTATTTACCTCCGAGTTAACTATCGATCTGGGGTTAAAAAATAAAAAAAATAACAGTAAACCTTAGGTTAAATAATGAAATAATAAACCTGCCGAAGTTGGATTGGAGGGTTAAATTGCTAACGCGAGGTTTAAAACGTCAAAATTGTTAAAGGTTATATGTGTTATATGTTTTTATAGAGATAACATTTTATTTTATTTATTTCTGAATGATGGATGACTCATTGATTTCTGATGATGAAGAAATTGTCGACTATATAAGTATAGACTTTTTTTATCGGAGAGTTGCAGAACGACTTGACCGTTTTAATTTGCAGAGCGACAAAGCATTTCATAGAAGATTTAGACTTGAAAAAGAACGTTCTGTGTTTAATAAATAAGATTGAGCATAAATTAATACAGCCTACACACAACAGGTAAGCTATCTAGATTTTGTTTTTAATACTAGAGAATCTACTTATAATTATTTTTTAATGTATCTATACCTAGTTCAATATCTGGTTCTGTCCCTTTGTTAATATTTACCGTCTAACCGTCAGTTATTTTATTTTCAATAATATTTTTATATTTGTATAAAATATCACAGAAGTAAACTATCACTACTTGTAAAATACGGGGCACATAAACGAGATTTCTTCTCTATTTTACAAAAAAAAAACCGTATAAAATGAAATTGTGGTCACAAAATACAAACTTATGAGATAGATAGGTACTTTAAAAACACTATGCAATCGGTATGCAAACACCTATTTGACATACAAATCACAGGACGCCATTCAACTTAAACGCCCAAAAACATCACATCTAAAGAGACATATACGAGATACTGTTGTGTAAAAGAGAGAACAATACTTATTTCATTCATCATTTACTCTTTTGTATTTAGACGGCTTGTAAGAAGAGGGAATGAATTTGAATTTGACTGAAATAATTGCCATCATGCAAAATAAATTGTTTGGGTTAGTAAACCCTGGGTTATTTTCTGTTCGTGCAAGATAAACTTTGAGTTAAAAAACTGTTATATTAACTTTGAGTTAGTAAACTCGAAGTTATTTTGTTATCCCAAGATTTACATGCAAGTGGGCCTTTTTAACTCGAGTTTGCAGGAAGAAAAATGTTTGGTCAGGCAAGCAAGTCGAATGAGTGATCTCAGCACTTTGGTTTCTTTTCATTTGGCTACATTTTTTATGTCTAAGGTCTAGCTGCCGCCACCTGCCCCCAGCGACGCCTTTGCCTGTTATAGCTATACAAATGCTAAAACTATTAACGAATGATGTCAGTGCAACATTGATAGAAGCTTTGCTACATTGAAAACAGAAGCTTGTAATTGCTTTGTGTTATTAGCATTTAACCCGGAATATCGATAAAATGAAGTATTTATAAAAATAAAGATAATACCTGACAAGAATAGAACCATACGGCGATGGTAAAGGTGTTCTCATTTGTTCTGCCAGTCTATCGGCTAACCATATCTCGAGGAGTTCTTCAGTGGGCGCCTGATGATATTGCATTCGCTGTTCCACGCGACCCCATTCCATATTATGGACTTCGTGCATCGGTAGACCTAAGAATGAATAATAATATAGTAGACGACCCATAACATTCTCATACTATATTATTAGTGCCGTAGGTCAAATATATGTTAATGATAGACTGACTTCGTTCTGCACACATTCCAGCTAAAAAGTTCTAATTTCTTAAAATCATTATTTCTCTAATTGTGCAGTATGTGAAAAAGTGGAGGATGTGAACCATTTCGAAATTAAAAATCGCATTATAGGACATCCTTACAAACTTCCTATCGGCATTGGTTAGTGTGTAGCAACAAAGTGGAGTAAGTAACGAATTAAAAGAATATTGTATGTTTTGGTTAAAATAGGACAGGAATGGACCATATTAGGTCCAAAAATCTCATAAAAACAATAAATAAATAATAACTACCCATCAAATAAGAAATATCATTTCATATTAAGTTAATTGACTTGATGTTTCATAAAATATCTTGCCATTTTAATATTAATTGATGAAATAAAATACATTATGAACAATAAGTATAAGAAACATGCAATCTCGCTATTTTAGACTCCCAGTGTTACAGTTCTTACTAAAATAGTTTTTCATACATGAAATGAGTCTGAGAATACAATGATATTCATTTAAGAAAACCGAGAACCTCGTCATTTCATTTTCATAGACGAGTTGCTAATTTCTTGGAAAACCTTTCTAGATATTTTATCATATTGTGTCTATAAAAACGAAGAGAATTAAAAAGTTAAACAATAAAATTGTTATGTGGGATCTAATAAGTACGCAATCTCTAAACAGTACATAGGTAGATAAATAATATAATTTAATTACCTAAGTATTAGACGTATTAATACGTAATATATTTTCTAGCAATTACTTACGTACGTAATAAAAACAAGTATTTCATATTGTGATAAATTCTTATCTACCTAATTATGTTTAGGTGAAGTAGGTACCAATAGCCTAACGTTATTAGAAGATGATATTATGCTCAGATTCAATCATTTACAGTACTCTTTAATTTGGAATTGTATATTTTAAATATTACTCCATACAATTTTATTCGGTCTAAGGTTTCAGACGGGACGGACCGAATAAATTTTTTTTGGTAACATTTTCTTTAGATTTCAGCATCTCAACAAGAAATTAATATCGACAAGTCTCTTTCAACTTGTAAGATGGTTTATTCGACTGAGAATAGAACTTTAAATGGACTCTTTATACTATGCATTTCATCGAGACGATGACGAGAATGAGAATATCAGCCGGCAAAAGCTAACATCTTCTGAAAGGGAGCAAGTGTCCGCCTTTGAAACTCCAGTGACAACTTTTAATTAAATAAATTGCCCATTAGCACCCGGCATGTCACGTTGGATACCCGAATTATAGACTTGGTGGAAACTTTACACAGTGTTTCAGAGCTCTATATCTTAAACGAGATTCAGCAATTTCTGGATATTATTTTTAACTATATCTTGAACGAGTTAAAGTTATGAAGAAACAATTGAAAAAGTGTGATTTTATCTTAAGGCAAATGGCGTTTTGCTTTCTTATGTTTATGTATTCAATCAAATGAGGTTGCGACTTTTTGTGCACATTTATCAAGTATAAATTAATAAAAGCTTTAGAAAATTAAGAAATTATTATCATTATTTACTCGCTAACACTGATGTTAGCGAGTAAATAATGATGATGTGGCAACCACTTATTTTGTTAAAGTTGTGATCAAAATGTATCAAATAAAGCTTTTGAAATGAAAGAAAAAAAACTGATATAAGATTCACGATCGATTGTGAAGTTTTGGCAGTACTTGATTTGGAACTGACTGTACATATTGATTGGTTGAAGTAATTGACAGGTCAATTGTACCAAAGAAGTCATACCTTTGCCCTCCGCGTGAAAGAAATCAGCTAGCAAGTCCAAGGCTTCTCTAAGCCTGTGGTGGTACACCCTAGGTCTTTCGGCGCCGCCGGCGTCGGCCTGTGATGACACCTCCTTCAGGACGGCACTCCAGCACCCGGCCAGAGCTCTAGTGAATGCCCGCGGCAGCAGCCATGTATTGAGCGAAGATAGATGCTGGTCCAGAAACTCCAGTAGAGGAGTGATAGCCTAAACAATTTGTTAGCCTATACTGAGTCGATGGCGCAAGTGGTTAGCGCATTAGGCTGCGATCGTTGAAGTTAAGCAACTTTCACCATGGTCGGTCATTGGATGGGTCACTAAAAATTTACTACCTCGAGCTGCCAACGACTTAACGTGCCGTAGGCATGCTAAGGCGTTGGTCCCGGCTTCATCTGCTGTCGGTAGCAGCAGTCGGTGAGTCATGGCCCAATCTCCTTATTCCATCCATATGGAAGGCCTGTGCCCCTGCAGTGGCGACACTAATATGTTAAATAATAGTGTACTAACTGACTTAAGTAGGTACCTTAAATCGTTTTTTTAAGGAAGCGTTTGAATAAGTATGAATGTTTTTAGCGTAATGGATTTTTAATGATTTTGGTTGTCTATTGTAGTAAAACATAGACTGAAACACAAAGTTATATTTTACACCACCTATTATTTTATTTATTATCAAAATAATATAAATACCTTTGTTCTGTTCCATTACTATGGATAGTGTTATCTACTTGGAGGTTGTATAGATACATTATGACAACGATCCAATTCAATTAGCGCAAACACACTACACTCTTCAATTAGTAGTATTAATTTCCAAATAAATTGCTTTTGCTTCCGGGTGACTTAAGAGTGGAAAGCTTTCAATGGTTGCTTTATAGAAATGAAACACAATTTCATAACGTGATTTAAAATCTCTGTTTTATGCGTCAGAAATCAATTTGATAATAAAACCAATTTGAAAATGAACCAAGATCATATCATACTTACATTTAAAATATACATAGTGCCTAAATCCATGCAACTCCCATTAGTGCATTTTGATTCAAGTAAAGGACACTATCAAAAGGGTCAATAAGATGGTAAGTAGGTACTGCGCCGCACTTAATCAAAAGGTCAAAAAACCTATTAATTAATGAAAAATAGAAAATACAGAATTAAGAACTAAATGCAATAAAAAATAGTAATTTAAAGTAGAATACTTTTATTAAAATAGATGCCACAGTTAACGAAACTCAATCGGTCATGTCAGCAATGTTGTAGTACCTATTCAAAATTGGCCATGTTGTAGTTGTCAGAATATTGTCGTCGTTTGGGCATTCGTAAAAATTTAATTTTATTTGCTATAAACAAAGTATTATCAAACTGAAAAGTATTATTATCTGAGAAAGATTTTTAAAGATTAACAGTATCGATACCCTTATCGATACTGTAGATTTTTAAAAACCTTTCTCAGGCAGCACTTTTCAAAACTTTAAGCTTACAAAAAAGTACTCTGGGGGCAGAGTACCTTTTTTTTGTGAAAAACACTATTAAACACCATGAATAAAATATAGGTTAAAATATAAGTATAAAAAAAACTAAAATAAGCATCCTTTCTCTCACCTGTGTTGTCGGGAGAGTATCAGGCGACCAAGCTAGATGGAAGACTGCTTTTCGTAATGGCGGTCTTGCGCGCGCTGAGAGTGGTGCAGCCGCGCGTGTTGAACGCGCGTCCAGCGTTCCTAACGCGCCGCGGACTAGTTGACGGGCGCTCTCGTCTGTGGCCGTGCTCATGTGTTCCGTCCTAATTGTGAAACCTTTCTTACAGATATGAAATATGTAGGTACTTAACGTAAAATCAAAGCTAAGGGAAGGACGGGGCACTGCATGCAAAATGTATAATCAGGCGGCGTGTGCGGAACGCGCGTCCAGCGTTCCTAACGCGCCGCGGACTAGTTGACGGGCGCTCTCGTCTGTGGCCATGCTCATGTTCCATCATAATCGTAAAACCTTCCTTTCAAATATGAAGTAATTAACGTAAGCCTAGGGGAAGGAATATGTAGGGCGGAACAATGTATGCAAAATATATAGTCAAGCGGCCCATTGTATTTCGCCTCATGGAACGCCCAATGAATACAAGACATCCACAAAATGTTCATAATATGCGCTTAGCAAAATGAAGTATACTGATGCCAAACTTTAGGTTTATCCACTCAAAGAAAAATCAAAAATATTTATTTCAACATCATCAATATAATCGATATCGAATCAACATCACCCTGACTCTTGATGTAAGTATAACTTGTGTATAAGAAGCCAGTTCTTTTCTAAAGTGAACTATTTGCCATTCTGGGAGCCTGCTAGCTGGCCGTCAGCAGGAAGTACACGGACGCGCTGATTTGTTCCGACTCATTCTCTGCCCTTCAGGCGCTGCAACAGCGGAGTAGTACTCTGCCCCTTGTGACCCTTATCCATAAGGCTATAATAGATCATAAACCAATCGGCAAGATCCGATTCTGTTGGGTCAAGGGTCATACGGGTATTCCTGGTAACGAACGCGCGGATGCGGAGGCCGGGGAGGTGGCAGCTCTCAGACGCGCGCCAGATTACTGGCATTACTCCATCTCAGTTGTCAAACGCCTCTTTCGTATTCAGGGCCACGAAGAATGGGAAGAGCGCTACCGAAATGCTCCCCACAGGCAGCCATACGAGAAACTTGTTTCCCTCCCTCCAGAACATACTAGACTTCCGATCTTACTCTACACCTTCTTTCCAACTTTCACAATTTCTTACAGGCCATGGTGCGCATAGAACCTACCTTCATAGATTCTTAATAACTTCAATGGATTCTTGCCCTTGTGATTCCATTAATTCACAAAGCCCTATTCATCTTCTGACCGAGTGCCCGCGATTTGCCTCGCAGCGCCACTCGCATGTAGCTCTCTGCGGTAATAAGGTCCAGGACCCATTCAACTTTACTGATCTCGGTCGACACAGTAGGCTGGTTGAGTCCGTGGTACGTTTTATCACTTATATATATGACAACATTAAGGCATTCAACGAGACTTCCCTGATTTCACTCTCTCATTCCTCTTCCTCGACCTCTTCTACCTCTTCTATTCCTTCCATCAGCCGTTTAGGGCCTGCTGCACCTACACTATCCCCTGAACCGCAAGCACATTCTCCTATAGTCCGTCCCTTCGTCTCCATTCCTTTATCATGCCCACCAAGCACTGATCCCGATAGTCCCGGCACACAGCGGCAGTCGTCGCCTTGATTTGCATGCGGCGTGTATAAAATAATTGTTAGGTAGGTACTTTTTCATTTAGTTAAGTCTGTGTTTATTATTGTTGTTTAATATTTAACTATAACTGTTATTGAACATGTGACCTTATATTTTCTTATTTATATTTTTTTATAATTTCTATTGTTTATTTTATCATTAAGTTTAAAGTGTCCCACAGACAGACGTGGCCTGCGGCTGCGGCCTCTCCTATGTGTATTTCTGTAACCACCACGACCCCGGCCGCAGCCGCGGACTGCGTCTGTCTATGAGACACTTAATATTGAATATATTTCGTCAATGGCTGTATATCATGCAAGAAGGTTAAACCCTTACACTCTTACTCCCATCTTTTAAACCATTTATTTATTTTCTGTTTCGTTTCCTTTCCTCTCCTCTTCTTTCGCCTCTCACTATTATTAAACCGTCCTCTCCTCTCCCTGTCTTTCCCACCCATTCGACCTCCCTGGCTGCATCTCGACGCGGCCTCGGATTCTGATGGGGCTACTATACCAACTATCGAATCCTCTACATCATAATTATGTTATATTAGTCAACTTATAATGTAATAAATAAAAAAGTGTTGAAAAAAACTCAGAAATAGCTAGCTCTGGATCATAAAGTTTATCTTCATGATTTTCACAAATCAATACTTAGAAATAGCGAGAGAAATATCCACAAAAAATAACTGCAAGGACCGTGTCCCGCATGTGTAAGTAATGTGTCTGTGTGTGAATGTGTTATGAATGCAAGTGTATGTAATATGTGTGTGTGTATTTGCATATATATTGACTTGCAAAAAAAAACAACATTATGATTATTACCTATTGGGTTGAGTAGAGGAATTGGGTTTAAATTCTATTGGGTTTAAAAAACCTATTGGTTTTATACCAATTATCTTCGTAATCATGAGGTAAAAGAAAAATAATATCTACCAAAGAATCTTACGTTCATAGAATAGAAAATTCCACGGACATTTCGATAATAATTAAGGCAATGAAATTCCATTTACAATTCGAAACGTAACGATAACAATCTAAACACATTTAGGGCTTTTAGTCTGTTGCGTAATTACTGCTAAGACTATATTTTATAAAATAGTAGTTGTTAAATTGAGCACAAATGGCATCGTGTACGTCAAACGTTTAGAATATCGATAGCTGGATAAAAACTTTTGCTTTTAGTAATATAATATTATAACATGTGCCTTCGAGTAATACGACGAATTGTTCAGGAATAATTAATAAACAGTGGTTTAATTGTCATTTAACTATTTAATTATAGTTGTACAAATTAATTCGACGACCTCCGTGACCGAGTGGTTTGTACGCCGGGTTTCATGGTGTCACCGACTCGAGAGGTCCCGGGTTCGAATCCCGGTGGGGGCAGATATTTGTGTGATGAATACGAGCATTTGTACTCCAGTCATGGATGTTTAATATGTATTTCTATATAAATATACTTATATATGTACAGTATATGTATTCTATCCGTTACCCTAGCATCCCATAACACAAGCCTTATACCCGCCATACACACTACGATAAATCGTTACGATTAGACTGTACAGTCCGAACGGTACCGATAAATCGTAGCGTGTATGTTATAAAACTGCACAGCACATAAACTGTACCGTTCGAACTGTACAGTCTGATCGTAACGATTTCTCGTAGTGTGTATGGCGGGTATTACAGTGCTTACTTTGGGGCTAAGCTAATTAGTGTGAGTGTTGGAAATATTTATTTATTTATTAATTATTCACATTGTGAAAAAATGCGTTTTAAAAAGGCAATAATTTTGGTGGCAATGAAATATCTTATTATTTTCTTAAAAACCTAATCGACGTAATTATATACAGCCAGTATTTAAAAAAGACACGGCCAGTTAGTCTAGCCCATGCGTGTTCAGCTTCATTTCAGTCGGCTGGCGCTCAAACAAATATGTTATAGTCGAACATCAAAGCTCCGGCGCTCCTAGGTTTGACTAGTCAATCCTCAGGTCTGACATACAGTCTTCGTCAAAGTCTAAATAAATTACATTTTTCTGCCTTTGACTAACGACTTTTCGCCTAATCTAGAAAAGACTAATTTGGACAGTCAAATTCCGAAACTCAATTTCATGAAATCGGGGTTTGACCTCAATTAGGGATAATAATATGTCAGTTTGTTACATTAGGTATAATAAAACGACATACCTACTCTGTCCCCTAATCTGGATAAACCCCCTACTCTATATAAACCATCCTCTGTTTTATCTTATGTGATACCTAAATAAATTTCGAGCACTTTCTTTGGCTCTATCAGAGCTGAGAAAAGGTATTATTACAGATGTTCCTGTATAAACTAAACCCTTAAAGCTTGATGATGATGACAATATCATCATCATAGATGTTAAAGTTAATATGAAGCATAACTATATAGACCATATGATACCGTTTTGTTTATGAAATTTATCAAGTGTAAATAGATATATCTTGTTGTAAAATAAAGTTATACCTATCGCAACTAAGAGAAAAGCCCAGCTCTTTAGCAAATATAAAAAGTAACTTTCGACAGTAAAAAGGCAATGATGATTGAGCTCACTAATATATATTTTTAAAATAATACTAATTATTTTTAACAAGATACCACAGTGTATTCACAGAGAAATAATATGTCGTAAATTCTAACGTGACCAGTCACATTTCAAAATATTCCTTAATAAATCTGAAAGCGCCGGTTAAAAAAAATATTTGTAATAATGAAACACAAAAATGGACGAATGGGTGTTTTCCACGCTGCCGTTGTCATTCTGCGTAAATCTCTTTAATGTCTCATGCTCAACCGTCGAAATTCTTGTTTTGCGTTAGCCGTCATATAATGAGCAGGGGTTTATTAACAAACGTGCTTAATATTATTCGAGGTCGTCTCGGGTAACACAATGGTTGGATTTCATCAGTAACTAAGTAGACAGGTAGGTACGCCAGTGGAAATAAGTGGACGATGTTTTGTTGATTTTATTAAAGCTGCAAGTTTAGGCCAGCTTTGCCTACGGTGTACTTATGTAAGGACTAATGAGTATCATTTTTACTGCTGCTGTATGTCGTGTTGAGCGAGGATAAGACATATTTTTAAGCCTCCCATAGGCGTGTTAATATCATAATGTACTTAAAACAGATAACATAATGAATCTGATATTGAGGAACTCGATGGCGCAAGTGTTTAGCGCGTTCGACTGCGATCGTTGAAGTTCAGAAACGTTCCCAGTGGTCGGTTATTGGATGGGTGACCAAAATTATACCTACTTACTCGAGCTCCTCCGTACTTCGGAAGGAACGTTAAGCTGTTGGTCCCGGCTGCATCTGCAGTCGTTAGCACCCACCAATCCGCACTGGGCCCGCGTGGTGGGTCATGGCCTAATCTCCCTATTTCATCCATAGCGAAGGCCTGTGCCCCAGCAGTGAGGACATTAATAGGCTGATGATGATCCGATATTATCAACCGATAATATTGCGCCTATGGGGTAGGCCTTACGGTCATTTTAATTTAGTTTTACTTATTATTGCAAGCGACTAAGTTTGCTATAGTTTTTCGTCGTCATTTATGTATAAATATTTAGCTATTCCAATTGGTTTTTCACTACTAAGCAGATGTAAAAGTTTTCTTACACCTATTTTAGTTTTTATTTAAATTTAGTTATACTTTTTAATACATTTTTTTCAGCGTACTCATTCTTATTTTATAATGTACTGAACCTAAAAATATAAATATAAAGGTACCATTTAGTAGTAAGTAAAGCAAATAAATTTAGGTATAAATTCTAAACATAAAGTATTATGTGTTAGTGGTCAATTTAATGTTTTTTTTCATGTGGAAATGCAAAAGCCGATGACGTTAACAAGCGGAATAAGTTTAAAGAAGAAGAAAGAAATTACTTACATGTGCTCGTCATCGTATTCAGCAAGCGATCGACGCACGTACTCCAAATTGTTCACAATAGTGCAGATCTCTTCTGTAGTTTTATTTTGGCCTGCGAAATAAATATCTTTGTAGTAGCTAGAGGCTGCTCGCGACTTCGCCTGCTTGGGAAAATTTGGTTTTGCATTCAAATTTATGTGCTCTACTGGGACTCAAATTATCTTCTAACACAAATAGTTCAAAATCAAATGCCTCGGCAACACTTTTCATTCGTAAAACTGTTAAAAAAATATTTTTCTAAAAAATCACATTTTGTCGTAAATGTTATTTACGTAATCGCCATTTTGTTATCAAGAGAAGGACAACAATACGCTGCGTTGAAGCGTTTAGTTCTGTCTCGCTCGCTCGATTGAATGTTTATATACAGACGTGTGCGTGTGTGAGAGCTGCTTATGTATTTGAGTCGGATCACATTTTATTTGATGCTAGTATGAGCGTACCGTATCTACCCTTTTTGTTTTAATCAAAGTTTTATAGAGGCCTTTAATCTGTTAGGTCACGAATCTATGGATTTACGCACTGTTTCCGAGAGAAATTTCGCCACTGCTTGCTCCAAAGATTTTTTAAGAGACTCAATGTCGCCATTACGTTTAAAGCAGGCCATGTCCTCTAAAACTGACATTAATTTGAAGTTTGAGTTGAGGTCTGGGCTAGATGAGGGCCAGTCTTCAGCTCTTATAAAGTCTGGAACGTTGGTTTCAAGTCAGGCTTGGGTAGTTCGTGCCTTGTGACGAGGCGGCCGTCCCGATATTTTCTGGTCTTTGACAGATGAAGTGTTGTTGTATCTGTTGATAGTACGATATACGAACATACGGCTTATACCAAGCTTTTGAAGTGTCTGGAATATGACTGTCGGCTACATACCCACTTTGTGCAAGGCGATCACTGCAATCCTATTTTCTTAGTCCAGGAGCCACCGCCTGTTTTTTTCATTGATTAATAACAGGCTGAATCTTGGTGAGTAGTTTCCGTTCGACGAGACGCCCAAGTTTTTCCTCTGTGAAAATTCTCGATAGAGGTAGCTAATAAAGTGCGCAGCTATAAAGCATGTCTATTTGGTGGAGTGTTGAAATTGTCTGACTAACAGTTTATTTTTTATTAAAATGTTTAAATAATTGTATCATAAACTGGGAGGAATAATTGTCCTACAAAATGGATGGTTTGTTTGAGAGCGTCCTCCACTCCGAATATGTCGAAACGACGCGGCCATAAAAATAATTAATAACAAGCTGATTTTTTGTATGCAGCTTTGTAAATATTGTTAGAATGGAATGACCGTTTAGTCCTACAAATTTAGTGGTAGGATTTCTCAGTCCGACACTTCGAAGTTGGCAATTCTATGGTAATAATTTTTTCATTAATAACCGTAGGACAAAAAAAACACATCATGAGTTAATGCATCCTTTGCCTAAATCAAACAGTGTCCTACAAAAAAATGGGTATGTATCGCTAGTCCTACAAGAAAATAAAAAAATATATCTCATTATTTCGTTGCTGTTGTTTTGGTGCTTGGAGACGTATATTCGAAAGCTTGATCAATACATTTTGAAACAATAAGACAACTGCCGTTGCATGAACTGCAAAAATGAAAAAAATTAAAATAAAAAAATACAATTATTGAAATAAATAAAAAATTATTGAAATAGTAAAATAAAAAAATTAATCGTCGTCGGATTCGGATGTCGACGCTTCATCCGATGCTTCTGCGTCGTCTTCATCTTCACTGGCTTGGGAAGGGAACCCAAGGCCAGATGGCCGGCACGGCTTCTTTCTAGATCTTTCTCAGTTCCCGCCGAAAAATCCCTTAAATGCCCCCACTCAGCTGCTTTCAATGTGTTGTAACTAGTTATCCCCAATTTTACTGTAAATAAGAGTGCGGCAGCTCGCGCGCTACGCTTTTTTTTTTAAACTTGGCCTCGAGCCGCTGTCGCGTCTCTTGATAAATATTCTCCGAAAAATAATTAGAAAAATAATTAATAATTAATGCGTCTTAATTTATTCAATACGCGACGGAAATTCATTCTTCCAATATTGTTGACAATTTGTGTTCCCCGATTTAAAAAAAAAATAAAGTTTCTCCAAGGCATCGAACACGGTACCTCCGCGACGAGAGTCCAGTTCTGTTCCATGCTGCTAATCGTGCTTATTCCAAGAATAGTGGAAAATGGTACATGCTTATCAGGACCGCTTGATATATATTTAATTATATATATACATACTACTTTTTTTGTAGGCCAGTGATAAAATAGTGTTCTACACTTTATCCCCGATAGGAAAAAATTTAAACTAGGCTGTTATTAATGAAAAAATTATTACCATAGAATTGCCAACTTCGAAGTGTCGGACTGAGAAATCCTACCACTAAATTTGTAGGACTAAACGGTCATTCCATTCTAACAATATTTACAAAGCTGCATACAAAAAATCAGCTTGTTATTAATTATTTTTATGGCCGCGTCGTTTCGACATATTCGGAGTGGAGGACGCTCTCAAACAAACCATCCATTTTGTAGGATAATTATTCCTCCCAGTTTATAATACAATTATTTAAACATTGTAATAAAAAATAAACTGTTAGTCAGACAATTTCAACACTCCACCAAATCGACATGCTTTATAGCTGCGCACTTTATTAGCTACCTCTATCGAGAATTTTCACAGAGGAAAAACTTGGGCGTCTCGTCGAACGGAAACTACTCACCAAGATTCAGCCTGTTATTAATCAATGAAAAAAACAGGCGATGGCTCCTGGACTATCTTTAACACCCCATTCCTAAATTACAACAATTTGATAATGAACACGAAAAAGTATGTGAAATGGCGCGAAATCGAAAGAAGTATTAAAATAATATACGTATTCCAAATTCAAAATAATTAAAAGGTTGAAAAAAAGAAAAGTTTTTATATAACAGTATTTATTGCCAGACTAGTTATGTATACGGTGTCATATAGAATCACCGCTTCTTTGCAACACCAAAACGGTATAATGTGTGTTTTGATTTTTGATTAGAGATTTTTCGCCACGTTTTCCATAGTTATTGATAAAAATGTAATTTAGCACGATGAGCGGGAATTTCTAGTGTACATTTATTTAAAAGAAATTCCCAATCGCAATACAGTACTGTTAATTGTTGTATCAAATAAAGAATTTGTAATTTGTTAAGTTATTGTTCTGGAATTAATAAATTGAATTGAATTGGAAAAATAAAATATGCCAACACTGAGGCGTCCAAATATCGGTCGGCAGTCAATAGTGTGTTCCAAATTTTATTTGGTACAAACATAATTGAAGAACGTGATTTTATTCGAACTTTTAAGGTATTTTTAATTCTATGACTCAACTCACTTTTAAACACCTAGATAAAACAATACAAATTAATTACGCAAAGAAAACGGCTCATGTTTCGCACAATGTGTACGTGACTCTAATGTCAGATTGTACTACACTACCTACCTATATTATGTGCGTGTGTACAGACGAGCATATCTACCATATGCATTACATTTTTTTGTCGCTTTCGTGCAGTTAATACAGTATCTAGGGTGTATATAATCGAAGTATACACATTTATTGCAACTTAGGTCTACCTATATGGGTTTATGAAATTTTTATTGAGGCTCATACAATCATATAATATAGAAAAATAACTATTTGTCAAAATTTTACACATTTACAATGTATTTGACGTGACAATGACTATGGTCAAATTTAGCTCTTTATATTAAACAACGCGGCCTAAGTTGATATATACTAGGACTAGTTATAATTCGTTCATAAAAGGCACAGGCGATCGGTATAGGCAGCAAGGATGGATATTTGACGTGACATTGACTATAGTCAAATTCATTTATACAGCAAAGAACGCGGCCTAAGTTGATAGGATTAGTCATTAATTCGTTCATAAAAAGCTATAACACAGGCTATTGGTTAAAAGTAGTAGCGCTGGAGCTACAAAGTTTGAATTTTATTATAATAATAGCAGAACATACATGGAAAATAAACTATCCGTGTTAGTCGGGGATTTTCGGAAGGAATTCTGTTGGGAATTCGAAGCGTTTACCTATAAAGCTTTCAATATCTATATATATACATGTTATTTGGACAAGAAACCAGTATACATTCTATGATTTTTATTTTCCTTCTTACCTTTTATCTCGTTCGTACTATACCTTTAAATTATTTATATGTATAAGGATTCAATATTATTAACAGATTTAACATAAATTTTGATTGCAATAAACTTTTAATAGTTATATAACTTTTTAATAATTAACTTTCAGGTAAAGCATATTTTCCCGTTTTGTAATATAATCCTACTATATTATAAATGTGAAAGTATGAATGTACATTATTCAGTCGAAGCGAAGCGGGTAAACCAATAACGGGTGGTGTGATCGTTAGTAGTGTTCGCTCCGAATATGTCGTTGATATTCCATGTTACTTCTGCCGCTTTGCAGCCACGAGGAACTCATACACCATAATCACTTGAATTTTTAACGTATCCATGATGACGAAAAACGTAAAAATGCGCTGGAAACAGAAGGTTAACCTTAACACAAATGACAAATTTTCAAAAAAGAAATTCATGTTTAAAAAATAAAAATTATTTGAACTTAGAATTCTTAGCGAAAAAAGAAAAAATATTGGACTTAAAATAGCCAGTAAAGACCTATTGTTAAAGAATATTACTTGGATTGAGTCATACAGGATCATTTTTAGCCCAAAAATGTTAAATTTCTGTGGGATCTCTTAATATTATGTATTTATACCCATAACGCGAACGAAGTGGTGGGCGAAAGGTGGTTAAATATAAATTTTGTATTTATTATTATATAAAATACCTATATTGTATTATATTAATTACAGTATCGTGAATGGTGAATATTAAACCAACCGCAGCCCACAAAAGCTTTTAACATACAGATGTGGCTTCATTGGTTAACATAGAAACTTCATGTAATTTCATATACCTAATTTATCTGATACAAAGTGCTTCGACGCGAAAATAGTTTTAAGCTATCCCCACAGTAATTAATAACTCTGTGATCTGTAATAATTGAACAAAGTCATGGACTAATAAGAATATTATTAGTTATTGCTTATAACAATATTATCATCCATGATAATGAAGCTTATGATAATGAAATGTTCAATGGGATGTCTTGCTATGAGATAATATTATCCATGGACTTATTATAATATATAAAATAAGTCCATGATATTGACGAATGAGATTAATGGACATAAACAAAACATGGGGCGCTAATGTGACGGCTCTCACAGAGCGAACACGAGGAATGGTGTACCAACCCACCCAACTAAAAATAAACGCTAGCCAATCACCGGGAAAACCACGGTAATCTTTTTTACGTGCTCCGAATACCAATAACAAAATAGGTTCGCGTTCGATTCGAGGACTATTTGTGTTTAGGGAAAATATATTTTGCGAAATGGACTTTTTGCATTAAGGGTAAGTACTTGAAAGTTTTCCACGATTAGGGTTCTTTATCTGGAAACCCACCGCGTACACGTTTCGCAGTCAAGCGTCCATGGTAATATGATAAAAATCATAATGCATTACTTAATCTGTAACATTTAAAAAATGATTGTGTTATAAAATG